CTGAAACTTGTAATTTTGGCTATTCGAGTGTAAAATTAATGTAAACGCAAGACAAATACTGTTTAAATTCAAAATATAATTCATTATTAGAACTTTTGTTTAACTTGTAACACAGATTTCTTCGTGTAAACAACATACCCACAATAAATTATCAAGATCCTGGCTTGACAGTTATATTTATTACAGAAATTAAAACACAGGCATGTTAATGCCATTTGAATTTCAAAACAATCAATGCCAATAAAGAAAACATTGATTTCCATGTTGGATTCTAAGTGGACTGCAAAAAAATGCCAAAATACAGGAATTGCAGATATGGAAAATTATAATAATAATAATAATAATAAAGTATAGAAAATCTGTGCATGCCCTTGAATAGGTTTACCAACTCCCATTCTATAAAAGCACAAAGCCATATATAGGAAATAACGAGAGTTGACAAATTAAAAAAAAAAACGACTTTTTATTTATTTATTTATTATTAAAATAAAATTATAATCCACACTGGAAATGTGGCTGCCTGTGTGTTTTAAGGGAGCCTAATAAATAATGAACATAACAAAAACTGCCTATTAACGCACACAGTTAATGTTGATTAATAATATAAAGATAAATAATGAAAGCAATGTGTCAGAGACCCTTAAAAAACATGTTTAACTCAACAATGAAACATCAAACGTAGCTAACAGCTTTTACATTGTCAATCAAATGAACTTAAACAATTAAAAAATGCAACAAATATTTGTTTGGGCAGAACTACAAAACTAAATGTAAAAAAAAGTTGCTTAAGTTGCACACCAGTTTGGTCATGTATAAATATCATTATAATATCCATATTGTATAAATATTATTGTCACTATAAGCCTACATCATGCTGACGATCAAAAACACAATGTCATGATATCTCATTTGCTTGTCTTCTGAACGGGTGCATCTTAAAATACATGAATGACCCCTCATAGATCGTAAGAAGCAGACATTCTCTATCATTTGTAAAATAAAGACTTGCTGGTTAAGGAAACAGCATAGGAATTTGCCACGGCTGTGGTGCAGATTAAAAGTTTAAAAAAGTATATGTATATGGACAGATGGGTAACTAGATAGAATAGACAGGAGTATGTTGATCTGTGCCCCGCTGCAGAGTGCAGACAGACGCAAAAGCCTGCTCTCCCGCGGCGCAGACCGGCGCGTAAGAAACAGGCGGGACTCTGCTATTTTGACGAATACACACCAACGTTACACAGAGCCCAACATGGAAGTTTGTGATTGGGTCAGCCCAATGTCAATAAAGAAAAGAACCAATGGGCTGCAGATTATGTCACACGGCTGCTTTGTCCGGAAAAGAAACATCTCACATTCAGAGCGTGACAGCTCGCAGCACCGTCAATCACTCAGGCAGAAAAACATGACAGTTTGCTGAGTGTTTTATGGGCCGATCAGATCATAAGCAGATGATCAGCCCGGCCCAAAAAGTACGTCGAAACAGCGGGAAACTGCCGGGTCTGCCCCTGGCCACAACAGGAAAAAAAAAAAAATGAGCTAATTGCGTTAATTTTTTTTAACGTGTTAATTATTTCAAATTAATCGCATGCGTTAACGCGTTAATTTTGACAGCGCTAATATATATATATATATATATATATATATATGTATATGTGTATATATATATATATATATATATATATATATATATATATATATATATATATATATATATATATATATATATATATATATATATATATATATATATATATATATATATATATATATATATATATATATATATGTATATATATATATATATATATGTATATATATATATATATATATATATATATATATATATATATATATATATATATATATATATATATATATATATATATATATATATATATATATATATATATATATATATATATATATATATATATATATATATATGTATATATATATATATATATATATATATATATATATATATATATATATATATATATATATATATATATATATATATATATATATATATATATATATATATATATATATATATATATATATATATATATATATATATATATATATATATATATATATACACATACATATTTTTTTTATATGACAGGAATGAATTGAT